TATGTGTGGAGAAGACAACTTGTTTGATCGTGACAGAGATACTGAGTTTATGGTGACATGGAGAAGACAACTTGTTTGATCGTGACAGAGATACTGAGTTTATGGTGACATGGAGAAGACAACTTGTTTGATCGTGACAGAGATATTGAGTTTATGGTGACATGGAGAAGACAACTTGTTTGATCGTGACAGAGATACTGAGTTTAAGATGGCGTGATTCCTTTGAAAAATAAAGTTATTCCGTAGTTTTACACAATAAAAGAAAGTCACCGGGTAGCAATTTCATATGTGTAGAACAGGTCCAAATAATATAACATTTAACCAAATTGTCATCTACATCCTTGTTTATAAAACATTATTGATAGTGAGTCTACATCCTGACATCAAGATAAAGACAGCAAGGAATACTGACCTGTGTTTGGTAGAGAAGAATAATAAATTCAGTGAGTTTTGAGTGTTCTGAGAGGTTTTAGACAAAACTAACCAGCAGTCTGTAGACTATAAATTGACCAAGAATATTAACAGAACACTGAAATAATAGTAGGTGTATAAACAAAATTTAAAATTACTACCATACTTTAACGAGATATCAACCAAGCACTAACTTTTTCCAGTATCGGTGAAAAATATAGGAAACCACTTAACCTAATTTCTCTCTCCTATGCTCAGCTACAGATATTATTGGTAAACAAGTGTATTTAGAGACTTTTCTTTGGATTTGATACAAATGTGTGTTTATTATGGTATTGAAGATAGCCCTGGCAACTTATAATTCCTAAAATAGCAAACAAAATCTTGAGTAACGTAATAACGTATTTGGAACAGTCTTCCTTTGATTCAGTTGTGAATTATCTGAATTCACAGCAAGAAAAATCCATTTGGAATAAGGAAAACGTCTGCATGGAGTTCCACGAAAACCACGGGCACAATGTCCAGCTTCTGAATGGTGGTTTCTCTGCTAGACGAATGTCCGGCTACAACAAAGGTCTAGTCGTCTGTAGTAAGCCGTTACCAAGAGGACAGCTATTCCAGGTAATATATGTACTTTCTTGATTCTTAACTTGATCGATAGAGTTCATTACAGAAGTTGTATACTCCTGACAAAGAGGTGAAGCTGAAATGTTGAGCACATAAAACAAACTTGTGAAATTATCCATAGTTAACGATCGTTTTATTTATCTGTAATTACAGGTAATATATGTACTTTCTTGATTCTTAACTTGATCAATAGAGTTCATTACAGAAGTTGTATACTCCTGACGAAGAGGTGAAGCTGAAATGTTGAGCACATAAAACAAACTTGTGAGATTATCCATACTTCACGATCGTTTTATTTATCTGTAATTATGTGTACCATGCTACGGTCAGCATTAAGTAGATTAAAAGATTTAAAAACAAGTCCTAACTTTTGTTCGGGAATTGTTGGACGTGGTACAGGGTATTTCGAAACCATATTATACTGCACACCTAAATTGTTCTTCTCAGAAACAACACACATATTGCTTTTTTTTTTTCTCCCTTGTGTTCAACAATATGAGATTGATGATTTGAATAACAAGTTGTGTCAATGTGAATGGTATTTGGTAGGATCAGTGATCACTGTCCAGAACAGGTGATGCTTGCAGTAGCTCCACTTGGAGATGGGTTTGATATTGCTGATCGAGAATGATGGAAAACATATCGAACACGGTTTTTAAAACATTCTGCACTTGTTCAAACTTTTCTATGTAAAACTTATTATCTTTAACATTTCTCTGGTGAGATTTAGTTCTCTAGAGACAAATAGTTTCTTTTAGATGTAATTTTTTTAAATAGAGGTTTTTTTCTTTATAATCACAAAGTACAATGCCACTGGTTTAGTGTACTGATGGAATCTTATGGTAAAGTGTATCACAAAGTTTCCATGGACTTAGTGCGTGAGTAGTTTTAAATAAAAAATTTATGTGCCGAGAATTCTTTGAAAGTAGTTTTAAACTGTTTTTGTTTATGCTCTTCTCTCTGTAACTCAAAAGGTAAGGATTGACAAGTTAGACCTGAAGTGGACCTCCTCTCTCCGAATCGGAGTCACGACACAATCCCCGGAGAAACTTCATTTTCCATCTTCATCTCTCGGTCTCCAGAAATCTGCATGGATTATAAGTGAAGACTTTGTCTTCTTTGGTGGAATTAAGGTGTGTTAACATTGGTGCTGTTTCATCTCAGTTTCTCTGGATTTAGCAAGACATTTCTCTTTAATGTGGTAAAAAACCCATGGAATATTCCTAGGTTTTGTGTATTAAATACTCCTTGCTCTTGTATAGCCATTTATTTGATACACTGTATAGTGTTGTTAGCAAAACATTTTAGACCGCACATCAAAACAAGTCTTTAAGCCAGCTAGAAATGATAGGGTTAAAAATATCCTTGTTGTTTAGGGGTTAGGCTAAGCTCAGGATAGTATTTACATTGTAAGTTCAAGTTCAAACCTCTTATAAGTACTTGTAAAAAAATAGTTGCTTTTTTATATAGGACTTTTGTGTTGTCTTCACCTGTTGGACAAGATGCTTCGGGAAAGCGTGTTAGATATATGTTTTGTTTTATTGGCAACGAGGAATGAAATGTACGTGATAATACATTTGTAAAGATTATTGTTTTTGTCATCTTGAGATACAAAAAAAATTGAAGTAATCAAGACTAAATTCTTGAAGAAAGAGAAATCACTTTTTTTTTTCAGTATAAAACTCGTAGTTTTCTCTCGTGATTTCATGCTCTAAATTATATGATTTTAAGTTAGCATTTTATTTAGTATCTTATGTACCAGGTCATATTCTGTATATATATATGTATGTCTAAGAACAAAAATCCTGTTAGAATTAAGAGAAATATCCATAACGATCATGTAATTCTTCTCCTTAACCAATTTGTAATCAATCTTTTAGTTATGAAAGTCAATATCTTGCAGATCTGTTTATACGATGATTTTTTGGTAAAATAAGAGGTGCCGGTACTCGTATCGTGATAAATTGTAAAATTACTCTCCCACCTCTTCCCGTGCTTCCTGTCCCTTCACTATTGAATTTGTGATAAATTTTAAATAAAGTTGATAATAAAAATCTCAATTTTTAACATTTATAGATGCTATTTATTACTTCGAGTTTTAAAAAATTAAAGAAATGAAGACATACCAAAATTATAGTTTTATAGAAAATTCCAAATGTTCATTAAGTTTTTATCCGACAAAATGTCCCGACTTTGTTCCTTCACTCGGAGCCAAAGCTCTGATCTACTTTAATACCGCCCACCGAGAAAAGTTATTGTTAAGTATTTCAGTCATGCTAAGAGCCGCTCAACAATAACGTACGGTAAATCTACATTTTTATTCTTTAAGTTACATCACATTTTGAAATGTGAATTAACAGTATGGTTAACTCCTAACAATTTAGTGCAAAATATCCTGCTTGTGAAATAAAATATGACATCAACATTATTCATGCCTGTTCAAAAGTGAATGTTGAGCTTTGCCTGCATGCGAAGCTTTTCAAATGGGAGACAGGCGGATGCTCGAACAGACACCACGGTTCACAATATATATATATATAAGATAATAAAAGTTTGGTAATTACATGAAACCCAAAATCTTTTTTTTAACTGATCATTCCACTGTATGACATAAGAATAAATGGTAAGTCTAACTTTGACTGAACACCAATTTCACTTACATTTTTCATCCTAGAAACATTTTTTTTCACGTCACTTAACACAAAAATACGTACTCCAATTTTGTAGGTTTAGATGTTAAAATTATATGTTGTGTTTTCCAAAACAACATAAGCAATTTTGATTTTGAAACATTTATTAACTTGTTTTAATTGATATTTAGAAGCTGTTTAATTCATTTCCATTTTTTTTTTGAATAAAATATTTAATTTTGGTAATTCTATTAATGATAGGTTAAAAGTCATTATGGTCCTAACCTTGACAGTCTACATTTCTGCCACTTTGTGGGGGTGATGGTAGACTCGGAGAACAGGCTACACCTTTACGTTAACGGTATCGACCAGGGGATTGCTGCAACTGACATCCCACCTGTTTGCTATGGGTTGGTTGATATTTACGGTCAGTGTGAACAGGTAAGTAATAACGTCAGTTGTTGTTCAAGACGCACGAAATATTCGTGATCGTACGTAAGAAAGCTTTAGCATTTATACTGACCTAAAAGCATAGAGGTCAGTTAATATTTTAACTTTTGTACCATCAGTTCATGAGCTGACGAACTACAACTCTTGTAGTTGGTATATAGAATGATGTAATAAAGTTAGCTAGAAACAATTTATACCCATCTGTTAAGTTCTGTGAGATGATTTTTAATCATATAAGTAACATTTATTCATCTATAAATCCATGGTTTTAACAAGAAACAAATCACTAACTTTCCTTGGATCAGTTTCTCACTTCCCCTTCAATATGTTACACGTGTCTTATAAGGGATATAAAACAAGTTAATTGCAGGGGTTTTCTTCCCCAACATTCCTCTTAATCTGTCCATTGTGCCTCAAAATCAGAGGTGTTTAAAAAATAGCATTTAAGATCTATCTTTTGTCTCCAAAAGTCACTGATCAATAAGCTTTTCCTTCAAAACCAGAACTCATCGGCTGGGCTGGATGACGAGAGACAAAAATTCCGATGAAATACTGTTAAACCATATGTTACCAAGGGGTGCTCAGTAATCTTCTCATGCAGTTCTAAAATAGAATTACACGGATGTAATGCTGTTCTTAACCGAATTTTGAATGTTAAAAAAAAAAAGAGCACTTGTATACAATTTTCTTTATTTCTCGACACCCATTTTGTTACTACACCTCTTTTAAAAATTAGTGAAAAGGTTTTAAAGAAACTTTTAATGAAATAATGCAGTTCAATTAAAATTTTACTAGTACAGGTTTTGTTAATAAATGCTACTATGTTTAGGTGATGATTGTGAACTCAAATGATGATCAGAATCATCGGGTCGAGTATAAAGAAAAGGCAGATAAAGATACAGGTGAGTTTACTTGTGTATGGAAGCACAAATATAATAGTAGTTTGACAAACAATGATTAATAAGCGTAACGATGTGATTTTATTTTGGAGAACATAGTCTGTGTTTTTTTTTTTTCTGGTCAAGGGTAATTCATCTATATTGTGCAACAAATTAATTTTATATTACATTGTATTATATCTAAAATACCGTGTTAATGCATGCACTGTTAGTTAATCTAAATATGCAGAGTAATGTTATTTGTATCCACAGTTTTTTATTTATCATGTAGTTTAGTCCTTGTTTGATTTTGTACTAAAATACTGTCTCCACTGTGGTGCTTATAAAGGAACTTTAAACACCTGTATTTAACATGATTCTCAACTCACAAGATAACACCACTTCTGTATCATCAGAAAACACCACTTTTGTGTCACCAGATTCCAGTGATTAAAGCATCTATACTCAACTCACCAGATAACACCACTTCTGTATCACCAGATAACACCACTTTTGTATCGCCAGATTCCAGTGATTAAAGCATCTATACTCAACTCACCAGATAACACCACTTCTGTATCACCAGATAACACCACTTCTGTATCACCAGATAACACCACTTCTGTATCACCAGATAACACCACTTCTGTATCACCATATAGCACTACTTCTGTATCACCAGATTCCAATGATTAAGACATCAGACATGCAACTGCCTATTGAAAGACAAAGATGATGTTTTAGCTTCTATACTGAGGCCTCCTACAGATCTGAAGAAGACTTCGGTGTTGCGGCTGAAGTATCGTATGTTTTTCTTTCAACAGGCAGCCGCTGTCCATTAAAGTTCTTAAACCTACTTTTTCTATTCTGCTTAAAGACCCACTGAAATAACACGTCACCATCATAACTTGTTGTGACTGTTTTTGAAAATATAAATCTTAGTTTCTCTTCTGAATGCTCACAAGTGTGTGTGAATAAATGTTACTGTGATGTGTTTTGTTATTGCTAAATGATAAAAAATCTTTAGGTTATCATATAAATACTAGTCTTAAGAAAATATGTTTACTTGTGTTTAATGTATCTTGTATATGTATCAAGAATTACTAAGCCTAACTATTATGCAATAGGTGTAAAGGAGAAAAAGAAGAAAAGCCAAACAATAGAGAAGTCGGTGATAAAAAACTGCGAATATCAGAACACGTGCTCCAGGTTTTTAGCCACCTTGGGGCTGCCAGGTAAAGTATTACCGTGGAGTAGTTATTTCTCCTTACAAGACTGCAAGTATCAGAACACATGCTCCAGGTTTTTAGCCACCTTGGGGCTGCCAGGTAAAGTATTACCGTGGAGTAGCCAGAAACCTGGAGCACGTGTTCTGATACTTGCAGTCTTGTAAGGAGAAATAACTAACGGTAATACTTTACCTGGCAGCCCCAAGACACAGGTCACTGTTTGATTGACTTGTTAGTCACATGACAAGTTTACAGGTCACTGCTAGATTGACTTGTTAGTCATGTGATAAATTTACAGGTCACTGCTTGATTGACTTGTTAGTCACATGACAAGTTTACAGGTATCTGTTTGATTGACTTGTTAGTCACATGACAAGCTTATTGGTCACTGCTAGATTGACTTGTTAGTCACATGAACAGTCTACAGGTCACTGCTAAATTGACTTGTTAGTCATGTGATAAATTTAAAGGTCATTGATGGATTGACTTGAAAAATCTTACAAATTCAATAATAAGTAGTAGAAAAAAATCCATGGCAGATAACCTATTAGACAAAAATACAGCAAGGAGAAAAAACTACTACAACTTGTCATGTGACTAACAAGTCAATCAAGCAGTGACCTGTGAACTTGTCATGTGACTAACAAGTCAATCAAGCAGTGACCTGTAAACTTGTCATGTGACTAACAAGTCAATCAAACAGTAACCTGTAAATTTATCACATGACCAAGTCAATCTAACAGTGACCTGTAAATTTATCACATGACCAAGTCAATCTAACAGTGACCTGTAAATTTATCACATGACCAAATCAATCTAACAGTGACCTGTAAATTTATCACATGACCAAGTCAATCTAACAGTGACCTGTAAATTTATCACATGACCAAGTCAATCTAACAGTGACCTGTAAATTTATCACATGACCAAGTCAATCAAACAGTAACCTGTAAATTTATCACATGACCAAGTCAATCTAACAGTGACCTGTAAATTTATATTGTGACCAAGTCAATCTAACAGTGACCTGTAAACTTGTCATGTGACTAACAAATTTGTCCAGCAGTGAATGGTAATAGATATTTCAGTTAAAACAGCTGACATTAACAGTGTATGCCAAGTTAACAGTTTAATATTTAAACAGCTGACATTAATAGTGTATGCCAAGTTAACAGTTTAATATTTAAACAGCTGACATTAACAGTGTATGCCAAGTTAACAGTTTAATATTTAAACAGCTGACATTAACAACGTATGCCAAGTTAACAGTTTAATATTTAAACAGCTGACATTAACAATGCATGCCAAGTTAACAGTTTAATATTTAAACAGCTGACATTAACAATGTATGCCAAGTTAACAGTTTAATATTTAAACAGCTGATATTAATAATGCATGCCAAGTTAACAGTTTAATATTTTTAAAAATCTCTTGCATGCAAAGATCCAGCGTACATTCCGATGTTAGTCTTGCTGTTTAAATTTGAATTAGTGATAATTTTTTGGTATTTGTTGGTTTAGTAGTGACTAAAGAATACAATAAATTGTTGATATTTTAGTTTATATAGATCTCAATAATTTATACATTGATATCTGAAATGGTACAACAGGTAGTAACAGCAGCTATCTGACGGACAGTTTGGTATGAAAGATGTTACGTTTGTAAATTATATCTTCATGGTTTGGATGGCCTTAAAATCTGTTCTTCTGATGTTTTAACAGATAATAAGCTACACGGGTATTTGGTAGTTCTTATTACTTGATACAAGTCATCGTTTTGATATCTATACCGATGTAGTTTCATCAGTTCTTCAGATTACTCATGTAGCAGAAAGTTCAGAGTATCTCTTAGGTTTAGTTGTTAAACTTGAGAAATATATCTTAAAATCCTTACTGATGTTGTTTCATCAGTGCTTCATTTTACTCATGTAGTGTAGTATATTTCTTAAACCTACTTGTTTAACCTGATGAAAAAAGTACTAACTGCTTGGGTATCAAAACTGAATGATGTTATTTTGACAATAAAGTGAGAAAAAAACTGTTTCATATAAAAGTTTCACGTTTTTGTAGGCTCATTTATTTCTAAATACTTGAATAAAACTTTAGCAAATTATGAAACATTAAAGTGAATTTTTATTTTGTCAATAATTTTTCAATCTGTAAGGATGAATATTGATTAAAATGCTAAAAGATTCTTTTAATATTTTTAACTATTAAAAAAGAAGGTTCTAGATTAATATTTTTAAGGGCCTAGAGTCAAAGCTTCAATAGTCATATGAACGTGAATGTCATAAAAATTTTTTACTCTTAATAGTATGTTAAAAATCTGTTTATTGATCCTTTGTAGTGGGATACTTTGTATCCGAACATAACGTATGTTTCTGTGAGGCGTGTCATAAGATCAGAGCTGATGAACCTTACTTTAAGAAAGGAGATCCTCCCAGAGAATATGCTCTCCCTTTCGGTTGGTGTCGCTTCTCCCTTAGGTAAGAACTAGAATATATATATAGAAGTTGTAGTATTTGCCATAGTTGAGATACTATGGCCACATTCTAATACCGAAGGAGACTGGATTGCCACGACAACAAATGGACTGGTGGCCAATTGGAAGAAGACGCAGAGGAAGACTGAAAGATAAAGTTATGGACGGAATAGAGGTTGAAGAACGAGAAGAAGACTGAATGCAGAGAACAGCTTTCGTAGCTATCACGCACAGAGCAAGATTCCCTGTTATCGTAACGAATCTTTATGCATCTCGTGAATAGTTGTAGAACTGCTCTAAGAATTCCTAGGTTAAAGTACACTTTCTGTTGACAAAAGTGTAACGAGAACTTTGAGGAAAGGCGACAGAAATAGTGAGATGATGAAATTGTTGTTCAAAGTTAAGAAATCAGTTGGTAATTTTGTACACAGAACTTTAATTATTATATGAATATTCCTCGTAGTTTGTTAATGATGTGTAGACAATTAAACTTTTGTTTTTCATACTTCTTTTTATTAATTACTCTCAGCTAAAGATTAGATTGTTTTTATCTGCTGCTTTATATATGTGTAATCACAAGATTACTAGAAACAATTTTATAAACTCTCCATATTTTAGTTACTGAGTGATACATCAGAAAGTTTAGTTTCTATTTTTTTCATAACCTTCATAATATTTCTGTACCGTCAGTTTGTGCAGTGAAAAATGTCTACAAGTGCACTTTTCTGAATCCAAAATATTAAGAAATTACTAAGCTATTATTTCACAGATACTTTTCTTCCCAGGTTGCCTAACAAAGTGGATCCATATAATATTCAAGATTGGCACATAGCTTTTCATGGAACTCGACTGGGAGCTGTTCGAAGGATTCTGGATAGAGGGGAACTCCTTCCTCCAGGTTTGTTCTTTAAAGATTTTGCAACCAACATTAACTGCCGTGTTTCTGTATACAAAACTCGGATTTCTTTTTATGCTCAGAGAAGCAGTTAATGAGTAAGGAAATTGACTTCTTGCTAAGTTGTTTTGATTTTGAGGTTATATGATGCTAAGTAGTTTTGATTTTGAGGTTATATGATGCTAAGTAGTTTTGATTTTGAGGTTATATGATGTTAAGTAGTTTTGTTTTTGAGGTTATATGATGCTAAGTAGTTTTGATTTTGAGGTTATATGATGTTAAGTAGTTTTGTTTTTGAGGTTATATGATGCTAAGTAGTTTTGATTTTGAGGTTATATGATGTTAAGTAGTTTTGTTTTTGAGGTTATATGATGCTAAGTAGTTTTGATTTTGAGGTTATATGATGCTAAGTTGTTTTGATTTTGAGGTTATGTGATGATAAGTTGTTTTGATTTTGAGGTTATATGATGATACGTTGTTTTGTTTTTAAGACTATACAATAGTCAGTGGTTTTGTTTTTGAGGTTATGTGATGATAAGTTGTTTTAATTTTGAGGTTATATGATGTTAAGTAGTTTTGTTTTTAAGACTATAATAGTCAGTGGTTTTGTTTTTGAGGTTATATGATGATAAGTTGTTTTGTTTTTAAGACTGTATAATGGTCAGTAGTTTTGATTTTGAGGTTATATGATGCTAAGTTGTTTTGATTTTGAGGTTATGTGATGTTAAGTAGTTTTGATTTTGAGGTTATATGATGTTAAGTAGTTTTGATGTTAAGACTGTATAATGGTCAGTGGTTTTGTTTTTGGCGTTATATGGTGACCACTGAATTTGACCCCAAAGATGTTTCTCTATATTTAAAGATGGAATAAGTCTTGGATCAGGTGGTAAGTCAGGAAAAGCAGATAACCATTCTCAACAAGTCATGCTTTCTCCTACGGTGAGGTATGCAGGGTGTGCTACCTTCGCTCCACGACACGAGTAAGTGCAACTTGCTTCGTTATTTAGTTTTACATTTTTCATCTTTAGTTATCTTCGATCTATGGTAACATGGATCACCTTTTGACATAAGATGATAGGTATATCTCATTTTCTTTGCCACTTTTATGATGGGTTTAGGGGGGAAAAAAAGTTGTCGGTGACATCAGCAAGTTATATGCTTTCCTGACTTCACAATCTATAACTGTAATACTGTAGTGTATTCTCCTTATGTGTAGTTTTAATAACTAACTTTTATATACAGAACTGAATAAGTTAACTCTTGCATTTATAGATAACTCTCCCAGTACCAGATTTAAAACAAAAAAGACATGCTTTAATTTAAAATCATAAATAATATTCAACGTTAAACTGGTACACAATTAAAAACATTTTATATAGGCCTATCTATGGCCTTCAAAAAGTTGACGTTCAGGAGTGAATTACAAGACGTTGTAACAAGTTTAATCTCATCTCTTGATACTAGTTGCTGAAACTCTGCAACGGAAGTGACAAATCAAAGAATAGATTAGGCCTACGCTTCATCTTTTCTTCACTGTAATTCACACTTTGGTAAAAATGTGAAATTCACAAATGAATACAGAAGATAAAACAGTATTGTCATTGACTTATAGCAGTGTCTTTCATCCACTGATCCTTGGATCGGTGCCAGTCCATCATAATCACCTTACCAATCTGTGAGATTTCATAAAAGCAAGCCTTCTGACAAAAATAAAATTATTCAGAACCGATATAGGTTAGAGGACTTGTAACTGATCTTGTTTTTTAATGTTCAAACATAAATTGAATTTAATGAATTACACTAAATAAAAAGTGTGGCTAGCGATTAGATTTGTTGTTCCTCTTTTAAAAGAAAGAACTAGTATTCTAAATTACTGTAAACATATGATAAATCATATAAACATTATTAAGTAGATACCAGCCTAAATTGCATCATTCAAGTAGCCACAAGGTTATAAAATGTCTTGATTTGTAAACAAACATCCATTCAATGTGTCACTCTGAACGGTACTGTACGTACACTCACCTACTTCTTGGAACTGAGAAATGATAGTTGTGCCATAATTTGCTGCTTAATATCATATTTTTTGACAGATTTAACGACTCCAAGACTCAGAAAATTCTTCAGGCTCGAGTAGCCTTTCAAGTGTACGTTAGACCCGGCTCGTATACATCTGGCCCCCAGCGACTTGGAGCCGTAGAACCGATTGATCTTCGTTTCAGCAACAGTGAGCTCGAGTGGCTTACAAAGGAGCAAAATTCAACCGTTCTACACTCTGTTCTAGTAAGATTAGAAGGACTCTAGAAAAAAAAAATGGTATTTTGATCATATTGCATATACTGTTAATGCGATTTTAAACAGCGTAATATGGAAACTTCCATTTAGACATTGTACAGATTTTCTATTGTGTTTTGTAACTTATTTGTTATTTATTCAGTATTATTTTCCTTACAAGTTTTCATCTGGTCAACTTTATGAGTAAGTAGACAATTCTATACATTAACATTACTAATGAAAATATTTCCCAAAGAATAACGCACTTTCAGGTCATTCTTATTCTGTTGACGTTTTGCTTCAAAATTACGTACATTATTGTACCTAAAATACTCGTGTCACACTATGATCGAAGACATTAGTCTCTTCTGTAAATATTACTGAAAGTATACAAGACATTATGTACAATCATTACCCACTAAGTTGTGATGTGTTTTGTTTTTTTTTATTTATGTAGATATATAAAATAGAAAATGAAAGTAAAATTATTTCTGATTATCTGAAAAGAAACGGTCTTTCTTGTTTTCTGTACACGATGCGTTTATTAAGTTGTTTTCTTCTTGTACGAAAATACAAGTGTAGTCTTATCTTGTCACCATCTACAAATATCAAACTTGAGGAAACATTACTTTCTGAAGTTATGACACTTCTTTACTTCAAATATCATGGAGTTGTCTACCACTATGCCACAAAAGGTGGCAATGTCTGTGATGAAATGTTTACCACTATGCCTCAAAAGGTGGTGTTGTCTGCAATTAAAATGTCTACCACTATGGCACAAAAGGTGACGATGTCTGCAGTGAAATGTCTACCACTATGCCACAAAGATGGCGATGTCTGCGATGAAATGTCTACCACAATGCCACAAAAGGTGGCAATGTCTGTGGTGAAATGTCTACCACAATGCCACAAAAGGTGGCAATGTCTGTGGTGAAATGTCTACCACTATACCACAAAAGGTGGTGATGTCTGCAATGAAATGTCTACCACAATGCCACAAAAGGTGGCGATGTCTGTGGTGAAATGTCTACCACTATACCACAAAAGGTGGCAATGTCTGCAGTGAAATGTCTACCACCATGGCACAAAAGGTGGCAATGTCTGCAGTGAAATGTCTACCACTATACCACAAAAGTGGGCGATGTCTGCGATGAAATGTCTACCACCATGCCACAAAAAGGTGGTGATGTCTACAGTGAAATGTCTACCACTATACCACAAAAGTGGGCGATGTCTGCGATGAAATGTCTACCACCATGCCACAAAAAGGTGGCGATATCTACAGTGAAATGTCTACCACTATACCACAAAAGGGAGCGATGTCTACAATGAAATGTCTACCACTACGCCACGAGGTGGCACTACCTTTTTATTTCCATAATGTTTTTGAAGCTAAAACATGAGTGGTGAAATTTGAGAAGAAAGATTGGGAACAGAAATAAAGGTGTAAAATCAGAAAATTACGCACGGAAATCTTGGAAATGCAAGTATTTAATGTTGACTATTACTGTGTGTTATCCGTGAAGAGGAAAATAAAGGAACACAGATAAGTTAACGATGAAATATACAAAAAATATCTAAGTGTATGTTGTAAATAAATGGAATCACAGCAACACTAGTTTTCAAATTAATATGAAAACTGTAACTTTAAACTTACAAACAACCAGGTATCTCAGTACAATAGTGCCATCAGACTTCATTCAGCAAGCTGCGATACACTAGATGTAGGTAAATCAAGTTTCTGGTGCAATTAAACTTGAAAATTTGCTTTATAAAAAAATACTGTTTTATTCCAGCTTTACAATAATGTATTACATAAATTATTTTTATCATAACTTGGTCGCAGTGCTGAGCTGTTTACTTTCACTTTACTGCCGTCTCTCGGATCTGTTTATTGTTGAATAAATAATATACATCCAAGTTGTTTGACATCACTACTCCACAAGAAGATATATCTGTCTTTTATCTTTAAACCATACCACAGTTGTAGCATAGTTTTCACTCCGTTATATAGTCTGTTACTAGTGGTTTATTACTGAAAGGTTTAACGTGAAAATATAAAAAAAAGTCATACCGATCTGTTGATTGTTTTTAATTCCAAAGTTTTTTTCATGTATATTTATTCATCCCAAGAACCTGCATAATGATAACAATTTCTGTAATTCCTGGCATGACACTGGAAAAACAAAAGATCCACCAAAACAAGTCACAATCCCATGAATCTGCGATAAAATATGACATGGCAATGGTGCCTAGCGAGTGCGTCACTATAGCTGAAAAGTACTAAAGAATGATATTTTTTTTTTCATTTGTAAGTAATTAAATATGACAAAATCTTTAGAAGATTTTAAGAGTTCAAATTATTTGAAGTGATAACAGACCTAATATTCTAGTTTTTAGATCACATTCTAGTTTTTAGATCACATAAATTGTTCTAAGTTGCTTAGGAAGTCTGATAATAAAAACAAGTTTCAAAATATTTTGACTTTAAGAACAAGTCACTGGTAGAATAAAAGTACGTACTGCAAGCACTCGCATGGTCAACATTTTTACTTTATTTTTCAATTTGAATATTTCTCCAATAAGATCAATATAAAATAATATAATAAGATCAATATAACTTTACCTTACCATTTCAGATAACTGGTTATCACCAATATACCATAACAGTATCAACTTTCTATGTCACATACACAGTACAAACAATACGACTATATCACCAATATACCATAACAGTATCAACTTTCTATGTCACATACACAGTACAAACAATATGGCTATATCACCAATAAACAACCCCCCACCGTACAAACAATATAGCTATATCACCAGTAAACAAACACTCCCCACAGTACAAACAATATGGCTATATCACCAATAAACAACTTCCCACAGTACAAACAATACGGCTATATCAACAATAAACAAACACCCCGGTGATATAGCTGTATTGTTTGTACTGTGGGGAGTGTTTGTTTGTTGGTGATATAGCCATATTGTTTGTACTGTGGGGGTATTTGTTTATTGGTGATATAGCCATATTTTTTGTACTGTAAATAAACAAACACCCCCACAGTACAAACAATATGGCTATATCACCAATAAACAAACACCCCACAGTACAAACAATACGGCTATATCACCAATAAACAAACACCCCCCACAGTACAAACAATACGGCTATATCACCAATAAACAAACACCCCCACAGTACAAACAATACGGCTATATCGACAATAAACAAACACCCCCACAGTACAAACAATACAGCTATATCAACAATAAACAAAAAAAACCCACAATACAAAAAATATGGCTATATCACCAATAAACAAATACCCCCACAGTACAAAAAATATGGCTATATCACCAATAAACAAACACCCCCACAGTACAAACAATATGGCTATATGGACAATAAACAAACACCCCCACAGTACAAACAATATGGCTATATCGACAATAAACAAACACCCCCACAGTACAAACAATATGGCTATATCGACAATAAACAAACACCTCTAAGGCAATGAATTATGCTCACGGAGAACAATGTATTTTTTTGTTTTGTTTGTTACAGTACAGATAAATTTACTGTTTTCAAACGTTTATCACAATTCTTTAGTTTTTCTGCTTAAGAGTTTTGAACATCCTTGGAAACATCATAATTTATAAATATTGTTTGAGAAACATCACGTTCCACAATATCTTTCCACTAACGAACTACGTAAGCCATATTTTTGAGTAACTTATATGATAATAAAACTGTTGTTGGTTTTTTTAACTATCACAAGTGATATTTAGATAAGTAATGTAATACAACGAAAACTATTTTAGAGGCAACTGTTAATTGTAAAAAAAATAAAATAAGGCAAAGTTCTTATCCTCTTGTTGTTTGATTATAAATGAAAAAATAAATAAAAACTGGCAGTATTACTTAATTCAATACCATAAACACTGGTATTCTGTAAGGTTAGAAATAAATATTAAAAATAAAAATAGAGAATATAAAACCCAAAATATTTTAGCTAAGAAAAAAAAAAAAACTTAAAAATATTTAACAGTTGATTTATAACTAATCAATAACTCATTAAAGGATACAGAATAATGCTTGGCTTTGGCAATATGTTGACATTCCTCCAAAAAATCCAATTATTTCAGTCAGAAGGAAGATCAGAGCTAAGGAAACTCCAACTAAAAACCTTTAAGAGAACAAAAACCCAGTGTTAACGATAAATCTAGCACAAAAATCAAAATAATTGCATTTCCATTCAGTAGCGTGAGGTGTGGGTCTAGGGCGATAAAAAATAAAATAAAAATATTTATTAACTTTACTTATGGTTCTTCTTTCAACAAGTCATAAATCTATTCAAAAAAGATTCTATGTGGTATAAACATAAAACTGCTTTTGATTGTGATTTGGTATTTTACATCTAAATCAGTATTTGACAAAAGTTGGTAAACTTAGAGCCTCCCGGATGCCGGCATTCGTATCGGACCCCTTACTCGTGTTCTGGAGACTCCCACATCTTCACCATACATTGAACAGGTATATCAGCTACAAACTTTCTAATTCTAATAAAAAGAAAAAAAAACCTTTAACTTATTATTAACTTGGGCATCAAAATGATACAAAAATCTCCAAATCTATAGACTTGCATAATGATACTCATAAATCATTCTTAAAATCTAATGAAACATTCTATGTTAACAAATCTGCTATTTGTTTTAAGCAGAAGAAGTTAACATCAAATTAACGTGACTATTATTGTTTTAAAAATTTACTTGGATTATGGAATGTATACAGGGTTGTGTGACAATACCTTTCAGTTGCACCATATTAAAAGGAGTAAAAACAACCCCAGGTACCATCAAAATACACTATTTTCAGTGAGAATTACAACATTTTTCTCAGAGACAGCGCCCCCAGTGGCACAGCGGTATGTCTGCAGAAACTGCTAGAAACTGGGTTTCGATACTCATCTTGGACAAGTAAAGGTATTTTAACGTATGGTTGTACGTAGTACAAGAGGAATGTCGATTATTAATTATTCAGGGATCTTCACACCTAGACAAGTAAAGGTTCTTGTATTTTAATGTATGGCTGTACGTAGTACAAAAGGAATGTCGATTATTAATTATTCAGGGATCTTCACATCTGGACAAGTAAAGGTTCTTGTATTTTAATGTATGGTTGTACGTAGTACGAACAGAATGTCGAAAAGGAAAATAAATTAAGTACAGCGTGTTCCAAAACATGAATTTTCACCACAAAATTGTTTAAATTAATACCATAATTTAAAGATGTGTTACAAACTAGCATAAAGAAAAAATATACTTACTCAGTATCTTTTCTCTTGTAATTTTCATCAGAATAAGACAATTCAAGGCATGCTTTAATATTCTCTTCCTATAAAAAAAGATAAGATAGTATCAGAGGACCGACTTTTCTACTTGGAAGGAGAGAAGACTAAAAGTTTGTATATAATTTCTGTAGTAGGTCTACAGCAAAATCAACAAGCTGAATAAAGGGTCACTGTTTAGTGTGTGTGTGTATATACCTATATATATATATTATTTTCTACATCCAAATCTGGCATTTTTTTGTAGTTATTGTTATTATTAAGTTAATTTTACTATACTCTGAGAATGGTACAATGATGACACAGGTTTCAGATTTGGAAAAACCAGGCGAGGCTCTTATTTTAAGACAGTTTTGTATTTCTTTTGCTTCAAGTTACATGATGATTCAACCAATGCCAACATGTTTTTACAGACTGACTGACACCTCTCCCTCTCGTTTGTTTATCCTTTTCGATCATTCCCATGAGTGAATATATCCAGATCCCATCAAAATCCCAGGCTGATGTTTGGGACAAACTTAGAAAATAGTTTGAAATTTAGTATCTAGCCTTGATTTTTATCATCCATGTTGGAAGGTATGGTCCAAGTGAGGTCAAATGTGAACAATTTAAAGTCAAAGATAAAATGGCATAAAAAGTGATTGATTTGACATGGACTAAACAATTTAGAAATATTACATCTTTGTACTCTTATCCACAGTTTTGAGAATTAAAGAAAATCTAAGCAAACATGAAATACAAAACAAACAGAAATCTTTTATTAGAACTATTATTATAATAATATTAAGGGACCTATTTACCACAGTACTATAAAATTAAGCAATATAAAAATACTGAGGTAGTAAAAGACGTCAAGTGTGAAACAAGAAATCAAGAAGAATTTCCTCCGATGATGCTCATGCAAGTTTATACAACCACATCTATGGTACAGTGTGGGTAACTGTTATCTCTGTCACTTGTGTAAGTTGTAAATTATGGTTTGCTCATTCTATAATGATCCATATAAGTTATAACACCACGGTAACTCTTTAGAGAATAAGCAGGCCTTCATGTAGGCCTCTATTATTATATAAATTAAATATAACTTTAACAAATCTTACTCTCAGCAAATAGCAGTGTAAAATTAACTGTACACAGCCTGTTCTAACTAAGCTATAATAAATTACGATGATTTTTTTTCACTGGGCTAATTAAAATTAAACAGTTCACTTACTCTTGACCAAAAAACAGTGAGTAATACCAGAAGATGAGATGACACAATTAAAAACCTAGAAGGTATTAAACTGTTGTATTCTAACCGAGTCATCGCCACGAAAAGTGAACACTTTGAATTATTCTTGACTAAGTTCCAAATTTAATATTAATAGTATAATTTAATGAATAATATTGGCCACTCAAAGTCTAAGGTTATCAACAATTTTCAAGAGGAAATATATTTTTGATAATTATTTTGAAAGTTGATGGTGATGTCTCCAGTCATTATTTAGTGTTCTATACTTTATCTTTCAGTGTGAGGCTTCACACAATTTTCTTTTCAAACATATAGTAAAAAGGCTTCAAAAAACAAGTAATAACTGTTTCGATTTTACGTTGACTTGATTACGGCACAAATATAAATCTACACTACGATATACTGATCAGGCACTACTGCAGTGCCATCTATAAATAGATGGCCTTTAGGAAGTAATTTTAAAAGATATTTTTACAAAAACCTGAAAAACTTCTTCCTGGTTGTAAAATATCTCATAATACCAAGCCGGTCACTAAAATAAAAAAAGAGGTAATGTAAATCTTATGTTGTTACGGGATTTACTTACACAATAAAATAAAATTTAATCAAAGAAGGGAAAGAATTCAACAATCATCTGAGTGTTATATAATAAAATATACGTTATTTACCAACATAATGCCAATCAAAAGTATTGACTGTGTAAATTAGTTTTCATTGGAGTTAATTTTGCAAATAATATATATATTTTAAGGTACATAATTGAATTGTAAAATGTTTTCCCAAATTGATTACAAGGCAACTTTTACAACTTCACGTAATTCATACTTAGTGTTTAGTGCCATCTGTTGACAGTTAAGAAAACTGTATACAAATTTATTTCTCTCATAAACGTCCATCGCTGAACATGCTCGCTCTTTCAGCCGTGGGGGTGTTATAATGTTCGTCAATCCCACTATTCGTTGGTAAATAGTAGCCCAAGAGTTGGCGGTGGGTGGTGTTGACTAGTTGCCTTCCATCTAGTCTATCACTTCAGAATTAGAGACGGTTAGCGCAAATAGCCCTCGAGTAACTTTGCGCGAAATTCAACAAAACAAATTCACAAAAGATAAGAAAAATGGTCTAACCCAAATAATAGACTTTCAATTATGAGTAAAGTACCGATCTACACAAATCGAGAATAGTGTAAATTTGATCCACATAAGAATGAAACGCTTATTTGTTTTTTAGAGCAAAACTACTCAATGGGCAATCTGCGATCTGTTCATCGAGAGAGAATATAACTCGGGCAAAATTATATTATAAATCCTCAAACTTAACCATGACCAATTGAGAGGGGGGGGGGTGAATAAAACAACCTGTAACTGCAGATAAGTACTCGCGATGGTTCAGCGATAAGCTTGTGGACTTATAACGCTAAAATTCAGGGTTCAATTTTTGCACTGGGCAAAACACAAATAATCCATTGTACATCTTTGCTTTTAAAAAATGGTGAACGAACTAGATATATCCAAAATTATTTATAGATTTGTTAGTCACAGCTTTTTTTATTTACACTATTTATACGAAATTGAAAATAAGCTTGTATTCTTCCAAAATAGCAGAAATATTATTAAGGAATTTAATAATTCAGTTTTATTATTACTGTTACTGTTATTTATTTAAACGAAGTCAATTTTAGGACGACTTCAGTTTTTAACATGTTATTGAATAAGATACTAAATTCGGCATTTTGGCTTCATTAATATAGTCGATAACTTCAACGTGGTGATTTATGACTACTGTGAATTCAAAGACAATGATTTTCTTGCTAATTGTTTTGTCTTGCATGTTCCACAATTCTCTGTCCCTTTATGAAGATCAAATTGGAAAGTTTGATTGGTAACTTAAGATTTTAAGTTTAAAGCAATATAGTATAATTAAAGTTGTACATGGATAGTTAGTATAGGTTTTGGCTGGATACATGCTTCTTGTGTTGCATCAACTACAGAGAACGTATCGGCCGAAGCCTAAATTAAAGGGTTATTCGTGATGTAGGCTTAACTACAAGGTCCATGTGGTCAAAAACTAAAAGTGATGGACGGTTATTATATTAAACAAAATTTCAGTTGTCTAAACGTTGACTTTCAGAGATCACTATAACAGTCAATCACACAGTTTTAATTACTCGAAGTCGAATGAGCATTATATCAGCTAGTGCAGATTATTTAACAATAACATGTTACTGTTTCATATTTTTCTATAGCAGTTTTACTCATTTTCTTAACATCAGCAATTTTTATTTAAAAAATCAGGCGGTTGGAAATGCAAGTTTAAAATATTTATCCATAAAAAATTAACTAGTGTATCAAGATTTTTATTAATCAACAGGTAAAAAAATCCATTAATAATACTGCTGTTAGTGTTATTTAGGGTTACTTGCTGTATATTTTTCCAGTAATGTTAGATAAATGTAACTCAATTATTTGGAGAATTTTTTACTCATACTATTACTACCACTACTAATTAATTCATTATTAGAGTGGTCAAGTTGATTTAATTTTCTGCAATTAAAAATGTTATCATCCAAGGTATTTATCTTTACTTGAATTAGATGGTGTTGATTTACACATAGTTTTTGCTCTTGCCAATTAGGATTGAGAGTTCTGGTTAAAAGTTTTTTTCTATCTCAAAGTTATCCATTTAATATTACTATATTGGATGTTGATATATCAATACATTATATACCATGTCTTAATAAAGAAACTTCTGGACCAAATGGTCCCTAGTTGTCCCATGGAAATGGAGCCATGTTATAGTAAGTTGTACCATCAGTGATTAACTGTTAACCTCTCAAAAATTAATACGATTGTTTGGTATATATGATTTTACATGCTGAGTTACATGAGCAGTAAACATTATTTCTATGTTGGGGTGTTATAAACTTTGAACGTAGTAGTGATTAGTAAAAATGATCTAATTTGTGTGCTTGAATTTATTCCAATATAAGAAAACTGAACAAATAACTTTTGCAGTGTATTTTCTCCATATAAAGAAGCTTTGTGTGATATATGGAAACTTTTCAAACAATAGAAAGATATAAAAAAAAGAGTTTAGAAGTAATAAAAGCAGTGCATAAGAATCGTCTTTATGGGATCTTATGTTAGTTGTGAAAATTATCTTGATATCCCTAATAGGCTTGTTTTCATGAAAGTAATTTTAGTTGGTTTTTTTTTAATTAAGAGAGAAAGTGGGTAAAAGTATGGTGAGCAAATTGTAATTAAAAAAATGGAATTATCAATTTACTGCGAGAAATCGAAGGCAAAACAAAAATATCATCCAAAGAATCAGTCGAGAAGTATCAGTAACTTGCAATATATATATCGTAACACAAACATTCAGAAAAATGTTTTGTCAGATACACACACACGTATATATATATATTATTATTACTCAATTCTTGTTTAATATTTGCATGTATCTTGAAAGACCAAGTGATTTATTAGTTGAACATTTTTTCCTCATATGTTTGTGATTTATTTTTCCATGGAGGAAGTTGGAACTAGTCGGAGAAGTCAACCATGTTCACTATGATGAATCTGGAAAGATAGTTGTAGCCACAGATAAGAACGTTTTGGCTTTGTTGAACCTGCGTAATGGATCTATTGGTAAGTTATTGTCAAAGAAGACCAATAACAAAAACACCTTCATGCTTTTTCTACTTGACCAGAGTGGCATTAAGTTTAGTTGGGGTCCAGTGACTAATGTATTTTTAAGGACCCTTTTAATAGAATTCCTTGTATATATTTTTTTATTATTTCAAGGTTTGTGGGGCCCTGGGGGTTGTAGCCCTTGCACTAAACTCGAATATTATCTGTCAATATGCAACCGAATTATTAACATGGATTACAAGTTTTTTAATATTTATTATTTATTAGGACAGTGATGGATAATGACCAGGCTGAAAGGCCTCAGTAGTGACCACAAGTCCTAATAAATTGATTTATATCAGATCTTATGAAAATTACATGTTTAAACATGTGACTTGCATGTATTATCACCCTTATTTGAGAAATTTATTTAAAAAAAACAGTGAGCACTTTTACAAATCTTAGTAGTTAACATTATATGTTTATAATTATATAACCAAAAAAATAGTTTTACATAATTATATCTGAATTATTTAAAAAGAGAATTCAAGATATAGTAATTGTTAGTCTTAACTGACTACTAAGAGGCTTTGAATTCAATGACAGTCTTGTTAATCTATCACACTTATGTCAAAAGTAAATGAAGTTTGAAAGTTTCCAAATATAACAAGTTTAGTATGGTTTACCAATGCACTGTTCTTATAGTGTTAATCTAAATTAGTTTAAAAAAAATTGCTTTAATCTATTTAACACGTTAACTGCTGAGGATGCACATGTTTAACATTTGCTCATGTGTACTCACGACACAAGTGCATTGTAAATATAAAATTTAAAGATTATTATTGCTATTGTTTAAACTGAAAACGCAATGATATTGCACTTTTATCAGCACTTGCCATAGATGATGCCAAGAATCTTGGCAGTTAACTTGTTAAACTACTTCAATATTGATGTTTAGGTTTGTTCCATCCTGTTGAAAGTACCTTGATTATTGATCTTGTGATATTTTAAAATTGGTAAATCGTTCTTTAATTTGCATTGTAGAAAACAAAAGGAAAAATATTAGAATAAGTTACATCTCGCATAACAAAACGTCATTAAAGAGTTAAATATCTTTCTTGTATTGGTCTTTGATTTTTGCTTAGGTGTATTAATATGCCATCAGAGGGCACTGTGATGAAACTTTCAAGACTACTAAAATAGATGCTCTGGTTTCAACTGAATATATTTTAGGAAAATATTTGAGGTGCATCATGATTACTTAACGTAATATTAGAAGTATATTAACGTGGTAAAAAATGTAATAAATATTCAGATATAGTTGTGCGTAATATTTATTACGTAAACCAACCAACATACTTGTATAAACATTTTCTAACTGTGATGGAGAGAACTTCAGTACAAAATAAAAAAAGTTAATAGTTCGTGCATTCTATTTTGAAGAACATAAATTTGTATTCAGGGTTTTTTTGGGGTTTTTTTTAAGATATCTATCTATATATATATATGTAGGGTCTAAGTATAAATTGATTACCCAGAATTGGTTTTCATTTACCTTATTATTTTTCAAGCCCTTTTTTTTTTTTTTTTTGTTGTTGTTGTGAGATTTGAAAAGATTTTCTACATGGAAGTACATTTGATGTAAATTAAAACCTAAAGTAGGGACCTTTTTGTTTTCGACAAGATGATTGTCTGGCACGCATGAAGTCAACATTGTTCACCATTACTTATATGTTTGTTATTGCTAACAGTTCAAAACCAGACTAAAAATATCAATGTACATAATATATATATATATATATATATATACGTACATGTATATTATTATAAAATTATAGCTCGTGTATTGTTAGATTCATAATTTAAATCATCTATTTTAAATTCTCTTTATTTATAAAAAAGCTGTAGAAGTTTCTAGAAGATCTGTTAATGACAAATTGTATCAACTGCTTTTTTCTTTTGTAGAAATAGTTTTTTTAAACTTTTACTGACTTTTAGAAACTAACTTTCGCCTGAATGGATCATTTCCTTTAGTATAAGAATAACTGGTGTCAATAATTCTTGTTGTTTTTTTATGTTTTAAATATCAACTTAAGGACTTGTATAAAAAAAATGGCAACTAAACTTTGGTAAACAAACTTATTTACCGATGAAATAGATGAGTACCAGTTCAGAATTGGTCACTTAATGGAAGATGTTCCACAAAATAATCCATATTGACCTCCAGTTTAACCTTTTATTAGTTCAGAAGAACAAATCAAATCAGGATTGTCTCATCCGACATAACACCACTGGCTAGCTGTTGTTACTTTAGATGAAATGGGACTGCCATCAATCTAATAGTTGTGTTACTTAAGAGATGGAAACATTTATTCTCAAATAAAAAAGTTACAGTTATTTGTCTGTTCTTTGATAACAGATGTTTGAAAAGTAAAAGTAAACTGATGTTGATTTCATTCAGTTTGAAACTTTAGAATGAACACTTACTGATAGTTACTGTTTCTTAATAAATTGATACAAGCTTTTTATTAGTTATATTTCACAATTCCTGTGTAGCGTACACTTAAAAAACGACAACATTAAACGTAATTTTCTTCGTGCTATTCATTTTAAGCGTTTTCCTTCAAAGTTAGAAACTTTTTCTTTCTTGTTCTATTTAATATTTATAAAGATACTTACATACAAAGAAGTTTTGACACCTTTCGTTAACTGTGTTGCAGTGTGGAGACAACTATTAGAGAAAGGATCACATGAAAAGGTACAGAGCTTACAAGGACATTTCCAAGGTATTGTTTCTCGTAACAAACTTTATTGATCTATTAGTGTAGTCAGTTTTTGGTTCTTTTATGATTTTTATATTACGACAGTGATGCACAATGTTCTTGTACGTAGAAAATATTAAATAAAAATAATTATCTTAGTACCAACTCATTAATTATAACTTACAAGGGTTATTTTGTCAAAAAAAAAAGTTATATTTCTTTTGGCATCTTATAACATTAATAATTACATTTCTTATTTTTGAGGTGTGTGTGTTTTTTTTCTGGATTGTTTAGTGATACACCTTTGTGATTGAGGATATTTTTATCCCTTTCTTGCTGAAGTGACCGTACCCAAAAACTATACTTACAATTAACTCTTGTATATAGATATTGAATCTTTATGTAAGATTATACTTGTTGGTACTACTTCCCCACGTGGGGGTGTTGTTATTTACAGTTAAGATATCCTTATGTAGGACTGTGTTTGTTTGTTTATTGTAGGTAATACACCCTCGTCATGTAGGACTATGTTTGTTTATTGTAGGTAATACATCCACGTCATGTAGGACTGTGTTTGTTTATTGTAGGTAATACATCCTTGTCATGTAGGACTATGTTTGTTTGTTTATTGTAGGTAATACATCCTTGTCATGTAGGACTGTGTTTGTTTATTGTAGGTAATACATCCTTGTCATGTAGAACTGTGTTTGTTTATTATAGGTAATACATCCTTGTCGTGTAGGACTGTGTTTGTTTGTTTATTGTAGGTAATACATCCACGTCATGTAGGACTATGTTTGTTTGTTTATTGTAGGTAATACATCCTTGTCATGTAGGACTGTGTTTGTTTATTGTAGGTAATACATCCTTGTCATATAGGACTGTGTTTGTTTATTATAGGTAATACATCCACATCATGTAGGACTGTGTTTATTTATTGTAGGTAATACATCCACATCATGTAGGACTGTGTTTATTTATTGTAGGTAATACATCCTTGTCATGTAGGACTGTGTTTGTTTATTGTAGGTAATACATCCATGTCATGTAGGACTGTGTTTGTTTATTGTAGGTAATACATCCTTATGTAGGACTGTTTTTGTTTATTGTAGGTAATACATCCTTATGTAGGACTGTGTTTGTTGATTGTAGATAATACATCCTTATGTAGAAGCACAATTTAGTTTTTTTTTAATTTTCCAGATGTGATCACAGTTCAAGGAAGGGGCGAGTACGTCCGGTGCTGGGATGTTGCAAGTGGTGTTATGAAGTGGGAAACTTTCTTACCAAATAATCCTATAGGCAGGTAGGACTTAATAATCTGAGCTCTCAAAAAGCAGTTTGATTTTATTGCCTTGCATTAGAAAATGTAAAATTTCTTGTTTTCTTGTAAAATGTTTAGATTTAGAGGTAAGTTGATTCACATCTAGGTTGTAGTCTCCCAATATCCATGGTGTACACAAGACATCACTGTAAGATCTTCTACTCTCCAATTCAGAACCAACCTAATATATCTGTGTCGTCAGAATTGGTTGTGAGAGATACCCATAATACTGCTGAAGATCACTGACTTGTACATTCTATACTTCTTACTCGTCCTGATTTTAAACCCTCGAAAGAAGGAAAGTCTACCCGTAGAAAAGTTTTGGGTTATCGGGTTTTTGTTTTAAATGAAGAGTGATTTTACCTTACTTGTTTTCATAAGTTTTTTAAGCTTCCATTCATGTTTTAGTTCGTCCATCATGAAAATTCATGTAGCAGCTGCCAACAAGCAAGTACTTTTTGTGGAGATGTATCCAGGGGGTGGCATTCAAGCATTTGTGTACAACATACGAGAAGGCACATTGAAGAAATCTCCCAAAGCACCAGCTCCGTGGCTCACGGAATTAACAAGGTAACTCTGCCTGCCACTTATGCCTTACTTGTTAAAACAAAAAAGGATAAATTTCAAATAAGAATTTGAATAAAATCAGGCACCATGTAGCTATTTAAACTTTAAACTTGTATATTCTGAATAAAAAAAAAAAAAAAAAAAGTCTCAGAAAATGTGTTTGGATAAAAATAATTTATTTACTCAAAAATTAATGTTTATATTCTGAAGAAAATATGTTT